ATCTGCTGTCAGGGAAGGTGTGCATAAAGAAGGTGCTTCTTAGTAATTGTCTGCAGGAACTGATGGAATTGCACCAGGTGGTTGCTTCTTTCTTGCAAATTGTTCGTACTATGTAGCAGAATCGGTATCGTCCAACATTTGTTTTTTTTTGCTCAGTGGAAAAAAAAATCTATTTTTGTGTGTATGGCTGGTATAATTTTTTGAGCTAAGAAGATAGTATTAATGCCAAAGTTTGATAATATTCCTGACATAATTTAGTAGGTAATTTTGTTCAATGGAATGATACAGTGGCTTATTTGTGATGCGAAGATTTTCAAATCATAGAGTAAAATAGTATTACTCAGTGGTTTGAATAAAACAGTCTTACTAAGTGGTTATGTTATGTCTGCAATGTCGCATCTTCATGATTCACTTTCAATATGTTCCTGATTGAATGGCAAAATTGCTGACGACATATTTTCCTATTTACTTTGTGATGTGACTCAGGAAAGTGAGGAAGAGGTTACGGATACTGAACAAGCTGAGAACTGGTTTTCTTTGACCTCTGCCCAAAGAATATGTGGTAGGTTATTTTCTGAGACACTTAGAGATAGTGCTTGGAGGTCTCATTATGATTATTATGTTCTCAGTCTATTGGTGGTAGACGTTGATTCTTTTTCTTTTGTTGGTAAAGCTTAGGATTCATCATAAAGGAGGATACACATCTTGTGCATGGTGTATCTACATATCCAGGTTATCCAATTATCAAGGGCAGGCAGTGGAGATGAACATAGTTGTGATGATGCACTTCCCTTGGTCTGTGGTTCATCTCCATGGCCCACCCTCTAAAGGCATTGTGGATGCCTTGCCTGTGCATGGATGTGTATGACATGCTTCCAATTTATCATAATTGTAAGGTTTTCTGGATTCTTCTATAAAACATTTCTATTATTATGACATTGCATCTGTATTGTGATCCCACTTAAAAAGCTTACGCCAGCATATTTTATTGGTCAAAGGGTATGTAGTAAGAAAATCAGCAAGCGAATAATATTCAAAATACGGTTGTTAAGTGGCAAAGGAATATAATGTTATTCTGTGGGAAAAGTATAGAATGAGACCATCTATCTTGATACAAGATGGTCACAATTAATCTTGACCATTGGATGTGAAATTGGGTGGCTGCGTTTATTCCATTGACCAAGCTCAAAAAATTTTTTCTCGAACTTTGTGACACATCCAAGCTATCAAATATCACATCGGATGGTTGTAAGTAATTGTGACCACCTTGTTTCAAAGGTAAATGGTCGTATACAATCCCTATTCTGTGGACTAGAGAATAGTTAAGGAAACCTTGTGGTCCTCCCATTCAAAAAAAATCTGATGTTGGATCTCCCCATTTTGTAACTTCTGTGAAGTTGGAATTCACTAGCTTATGTAATCGAAGAACAAAAGTGCAAGGAATATTGCAGTGGTATCACATATATAAACTAACTGAGCAGGCAAATGGAAATTTACAGTTCAGGTCTAAGACAGAGAGGAAACTGTTTCACATTTCCAGTTGGAATTCTGCTTATCTGTATATGTGCTCTATATCAGTGGTTGTGATTAGGAGTGTGAGTTACAATACCTTTGGTCCTGACACCTTGTGAATTACACCTTGTAATCAGGAATTAAAAGTATTATTAATTTCTCCCTTTCTTTGGCTCATTATAAAAAGTTGTTAAACTAAAGCTTTGCTGGTGACTTTTGTTTCTATCTGATGTGTCTGGGAAATGCATATATCGTGCATATTATTTTGGGATATCTTTGCATGGTATTTATTTTTAATTTGAGAAGGTAATTTGCCATAGATTATTTATTTATTTTCACTTATGCTTCCTGATTATCTTGCAGAGATGTTTCTTGCTCTGGATAAAGATATTAATGGGACATTGAGCAAGCAGGAGCTTCGAGAATATGCTGATGGCACATTGACTGAAATATTTATTGAGCGAGGTGAGACAATAAAGTTTTGTTCTCGCTTTTTCCTTCTCTTCACACAGTCAAAAAGTTAGTAGTTGTACTTTTTATATTAGTCATCACTAGGAAGAGACTGCGGCCAGATACAAGTTCCTTCTTGACAAGTTATAGTCAGCCGAGCTCTCAGTTTCAATTTGTGGTGTGTTGTAGTACTTGGCAAGGATATGCCCTTTAGTGTTGTGTATGGATGTGTCTACAATTGTGTATGTTTTATTTGGGCATCTTTGTCATTTGTATGATTTTATGGCATTAATCTAAGGGAAAAGTTTATTTAGAGCTGAGGCTCTAAACAATCAAATTAGAGCCTACCTAAAAAATTCCACTAGAAGAGGTTGTTTTGGTGGCCAAATATTGTCAAATTGATCATCTCGTCATCAAGATGCATGGATATGAGAAAAAAATGGATTTCACGTTTTGGAAATAATGCATATTGTAATACATTTTTGGACTGTCAATTTTCAAGATTTTCAAGTTCGCATAGATCCGTTCTATCTGCACTATTTTTGAAGCTTTAAATTTTATAATTAAAGATAAAAATATATTTCAAGGCTATCCCAAAGATTTTCAGTATTGAAACCACATTTCTCGACATTATTTGAAGGTGGGCTCTAATTTGATTGTTTAGAGCCTCGGCTCTATACAAATCGCACCCTTAATCTAATGGTAGTTATTTTTGCAAGTTATTCTCCTTTTTACTTTTCTGGTAGTGGGTAAGTTGTTTTGCTATGGTCAACAAGGAGGCAGCATTTAGATATGCTTGTGATGAATACATTTTCGCATTTATTTTCCATGTACTAGAAATAGTATTCCTTTTGATATGGTTAGATGAACCAGATTAGATCATGGAGAGTAGACATACCACTGAAGTTTTAAATATCTTCAACTTATTCATATCTTCTTAACAAATAAAAGCTACAACACATGCAATAAGACATGTGGGATCTAAAAGATGTGTAGGGGTTGGCCAATTTTTGATTTGTGAACCATTAAGGGCCTGTGGGATCTAAAAGATCACATGCAAGAGACGAGAGAGAGAGAGAGAGAGAGAGAGAGAGAGAGAGAGAGAGAGAGAGAGAGA